AGATTACTTTGAGTTCCAGACAGGCCCCAGGAAAAATTAGATTGGGCACTAAATTTCAAGTATGACTCTTCGTCAGTTTTGGTGTAATGTCACATTTGCCCATTTTCCACAATGGTGTGTTTGTACAACGAGTGGCTAAAATCTTTTCTTTGAACTCTTGAAGTTGTGCAAAAACATTTTAGTTAGCCTGAAAATATAGCACTTATGTTTTTACTTCTGCTATACAGGCTTGTATAAAATGTACAGTAGGGTAAACAATAGTACTGACTACCTCAAATAATTTGTCATAATCCAAAAGTTGCTTGCCAAGTGATCTTGGTCAACTCGGACTATTGGGGAAAAATCATCTATTTCTGCACTTCAGCTTATTTTTTGATTGTCTTGCTTTGCAGAAACAAGTTGACAGGTTTTCATGCTTCTCTCTGTAGTTCTGAAGGAAGATTTATATGCATGTAACAACATTTTTTTAATGTCTTGCAAGAAGAATTGGCAATAATCTTGGGATTTGGCAAAATGTGCTAACCACAGCCCATCCAGACCTGTTTGTAGGTTTTATTTGTTCATGGATCATCACTGACTTGGCCAACATTTATTATCCATCAGAGACAGCAAGAACTGCAGCTGCTGGAGTCAGTGACCACACAATGTGGAGCTGGAGGAACACCGCAGACCAGGCAGCATCAGAGGAGCAGGAAAGTTGACGTTTTGAGTCAGGACCTTTCTTCAGAAATGGGGAGAGGGAAGGGAACTGGGAAATAAATAGGGAGGAGGAGTGAGGCTGGGGAAGGTAGGTGGGATGGTAATAGGTGAGTGCAGGTGGGGATTGGTCAGTGGGATGGGTAGGGCGGGTAGGTGGGAGAGAAGATGGACAGGTTGTTTCAGGTCAAGGAGGCGGGGATGAGAGGACAGGTTGGACATGGGATGAGGGGGGTAGATTTTAAAACTAGTGAATTCCATGTTTAGGCCATCGGGCTGTAGGCCCCTGAGGCGGAATATAAGGTGCTGCTCCTCCAGTTTGCGTGTGGTGTCATTGTGGCATTAGAGGATGTCCAGGATGGGCATGTCACCGAGGGAGTGGGAGGGGGAGTTAAAATGGTTGGTGACCAGAAGGTATTGTCGTTTGCGCTCTATATGCAACAGATGCTCTACGAAACGGTCCCCAAGTCTGTGCTTGGTTTTGCCAATGTAGAGGAGGCCATATCGGGAGCAGCGGATACAGTGGACCAAGTTGGTGGATGTACAAGTGAACCTCCCTGTCTGATATGAAAAATTTGCTTCGGATCTTGAATGGAGGTGAGGGGGAGGTGTAGGGGTAGGTGTAGCACTTCCTGCGGTTGCAGGGAAAGGTGCCAGGTGTGGTGGGGTTAATGGGGATGGTGGACTGGATGAGGGAGTCGCGGAGTGAGCGATCCCTATGAAAGACAGATGGGGTGGGGAGGGAAGTATCTCTGGTTGTGGGATCGGATTGTAGGTGATGGAAGTGGTGGAGAATGTTACGCTGGATGCAGAGGTTGGTGGAGTGATATCTGAGGGCCAGGGGGATTCTGTCTTGATTTTTGTTTGGGGCAGAAGTGCGGGAAATGCAAGAGATGTGGTTGAGGGCATTTTTTTACCACTGGAGAGGGGAAGTTGCGGTCTTTGAAATAGGAGGACGTCTGCGAGTGGAACGCTCCATGTTGGGGGTGGAGGTGGAGGAATTGGGATTAGGGGAAAGGTGGATGGTGAGTAATTGTCCTAAACTGCTGCAGTCAAATTAAGTGAAATCATCCACAATACTGGGAGTGGGATGAACTCTGATTTTGACTCAGCGGTAATGAAAGCGAGAAGGGCCAAGTGAATGATCTATGTCAGCTTCCTGAGGATCTCAGCATCACAGATGCCACTCTTCAACCAGTTCATTCACTGCATGTGATCTCAAGAAATGGCTGAAGATACGAGATACTACAAAAGGATCCTGAGAGTATTCCGGCAATAGTACTGATGACTTGTGTTCCAGAACTTGCATACCATGGACTAAGCCATTCTAGTACAGCTACAACACTGACCTCTACCCAGCAATATGGAAGTTCCGCCAGTACGTCTTGATCACTAAAGCAGAACAAATAAAAGCCAGCCGATCACTGCTCTATCAGTCCACACTCCATCACTTCGTTGATGATTGAAAGTATTGTCCATAGTACTATAAAGCAGTGGCAAAAGAATAACCTGCTTACTGATTCTGAAACAAAAACAGAAATTACTGGAGAAACTCAGCAGTTTTGGCAGAATCTGCGGGGAGAAAGCAGAGTTGATGTTTTGACTCTGGTGACTCATGATCAGTTACCAGATTCAAAACATTAACTCTGCTTTTTTCCCACAGATGCTGCCAGACCTGCTGAATTTCTCCAGCAATTTCTATTTATATTTCAGATCTCCAGCGTTTGCAGTTCTTTGTTTTATTTCACTGATTCTCAGTTTGGTTTCTGCCTGGACCATTCAGCACTTGATCTCATTGCAGCCTTGGTCCAAATATGTACAAAAGGGTTAAATTCCAGAGTTAATGTGGGAGTGACTGTCTTGACAACGAGGTAGCATTTGATCCAGTATGGCTAAAGGAGCCCAAACAGAATTGGAGTCAATGGGATTTGGGGAAACCCCACTGGTTTGAGTCATACCTAGCACACAGCAAGATAGTTGTGGTTATTGAAGGTCAATCATATCTGCAGGTATTCCTCAGCTGTGTTCAGCTGCTTCTTCAATGACCTTCCCTTCTTCACAAGTCTAAAGTGGTGAAATTTGCTGCTGATTGCATAATGTTCAGAACCAATTGCAGCTCCTCAGATGATGAAGCAGCCCATGTCCATGAGCAATTAGACCTGATAACACCAAGACTTAGATTGATAAGTGGCAATTTACATTCATGCCACACAAATGCCATATAATGACATTCTCCAACAAATAATAATTCAGCCATCATCGCTTTACATTCAATGGCACTATCAATGCTGAATTCCCCCATTATCAACATTGACGTCACCATTCACCTGCAATGGAACTGGACTAGCCATATAAATACTGTTACCTGCAAGATCAGGTCAAAGGCTGTGAGATCTGTGCCAAGTAACTTGCCTCCTGTCCACCAACCATATGCTGCAAATCAGGGGTGTGATTTAATACACTCCAACAATATCCAAGGAGCTTGACACCACTCTGAACAAAGTGGCCTGCCTGATTGGCGTACTATTCACCTTCAAAATTCTCACCCATTGAGGCACAGTGGCAGCAGTGTGTCTCATTTATAAGACATCAAGGTAACTCACCAAGGCTTTTTGACAGTAACTTCCAAACTCGTGACCTCGACCTACTAGAAGACGGAGGGCTGCAGATGCATGAGAACATCACTGTGCAAGTCCCCTCTGTGTCACATTCCATCCTGGCTTGGAGCTATATTGCCGTTCCTTCACAGTTGCTGTTCGAAATCCTGGAAGTCTGTAACAGCACTGTAGGTGTACCACCCTTTGGACTTCAGTTCAAGAAGGCAGCTCACCTCTGCCTTCTCCATGGCAGTTAGGGATGGATGATAAATGCTGGCCTCACATCCCAGTAACAAACGAACAAAAAACAAGTGAGTTTTTAATTTCACTTGTGGGATGTGAGTGTCACTGGCTGGCCAGCATTTATTGCCTGTTCCTAGCTGCCCTTGAAAAGGTGGTGGAGAGCTGCCTTCTTGAACTGCTGCAGTCCACATGCTGTAGGTTGATCCACAGTGCCCTTAGGGAGAGAATTCCAGGATATTGATCCAGTGACAATTAAGAAATAGCAATTATATTTCCAAGTCAGGATGGTGAGTGAGGGGAACTTCCTGGAGGTGGTGTTCCCATGTAACTGCTGCCCTTGTCTTATTAGATGGAAGTGGTCACGGGTTTGAAGATGTAGTTCATCCTCCGACACCATCTGCAATCTGACCACACCACCAAAGACATTTTTCCCTCCCCACCCTTATCTGCTTTCCGGAGGGACCACTCTGTCTGTGACTCCCTTGTCCACTCCACACTCCCCTCCAGCCCCACCACACCCGGCACTTTTCCCTGCAACTGCAGGCAGTGCTACACCTCCCCCCTCACCCCCATCCCAGGCCCCAAGAAGACCTTCCACATCAAGCAGAAGTTCACCTGCACATCTGCTAATGTGGTATACTGTATCCGCTGTTCCAGATGTGGCCTCCTGTACATTGGGGAAACCAAATGGAGGCTTGGGGACTGCTTTGCAGAACACCTACGCTCGGTTCGCAACAAACAACTGCACCTCCCAGTCACGAACCATTTCAGCTCCCCCTCCCACTTCTTAGACGACATGTCCATCCTGGGCCTCCTGCAGTGCCACAACGATGCCACCCGAAGGTTGCAGGAACAGCACACCTCATATTTCGCTTGCAGCCCAATGGTATCAATGTGGACTTCACAAGCTTCAAAATCTCCCCTCCCCTAACTGCATCCCAAAACCAGCCCAGCTTGTCCCCGCCTCCCTAACCTGTCCTTCCTCCCACCTATCACCTCCTCCCACCTCAATCCCCAACCCCTTCTCCTACCTACTAGCCTCATCCTGCCCCCTTGACCTGTCTGTCCTCCCTGGCCCGACTTTTGGCCTCCCTAACTCCCCACCTACACTCACCTTTACTGGCTCCACCCCTGCCTCTTTGACCTGTCTGTCTCCTCTCCACCTTTATCCATCTTCTGTCCGCCTCCCCCTCTCTCTCTATTTATTTCAGAATCCCCTTCCCCTCCCCCATTTCTGAAGAAGGGTCTAGACCCGAAACATCAGCTTTCCTGCTCCTCTGATGCTGCTTGGCCTGCTGTGTTCATCCAGCTCTACACCTTGTTATCTCATGGGTTTGAAGGTATTATCTAAGGGTCTTTGGTGAATTTCTGCGGTGCATCTTGTAGATATTACGCACTAGTGGTGGAAGGAGTGGATGCTTGTGGATGTGGCACCAATCAAGCAGGCTGCTTTGTCCTGGATGGTATCAAGCTCCTCAAGTCCAATGTTGTTGGAGCTGCACCCATCCAGGCAAGTGGAGAGTATCACACGTCACACTTCTGACTTTAAAGATTGTTAGGTTTCTTGCTTATTTGTCATGGTGTATTTTTCCTTCCAGCTCCATGAATGAAGTTGTACACACATCACCTACAATAGGCAGCAACGTAGAAGAGATAGTAGTGAATAGCACACACTTCCTGATGTGGGATATCGGAGGTCAGGAGTCATTGCGTTCATCATGGAACACCTATTATACTAATACAGAGGTGAGATTCAATTTGGGGCTTTTTAAAGAAATATCAACCTAGATTAATCTCAAATTTAGTCTGATATTCTCTGAATAGTCTATGAATTTTATCATTGTGTATTAAGATTAGGTAAAAACTTTTTAAAGTAGTGAAGCCATTGCTAATCCACTGTGTCCTGCTAATAATATGGAGAAGTTATCTTATGTAAATCTTTCTCTATGGTTATGCATGCCAAATTCCAGCTATCTGTGTTGTTTCCTTACACTACTTTTGATTTCATATTTTACCCAATAAGTCACCCACATCTTATGCTTGCATTATCTGTCCTATTCTGTGTCTTGGAAACATTTAGTACAGATTCAGATTGTGTTTATCGTGCACTGTTGCACATTAATTACCATTTTCTTCTTGATTAGGCTTGCATTCCAAATTATACAGATCTCTTAGTTTGATTTGCTTCCTTTGTTTTATTTATATTTTCAAACAAAGCTAGATGGGGAAATACATCTCGGAGTACAAAGTACGCACAGGTTAAATGAATGGGCGTGAATGTGACAGGTAGTAGAATGTGGGAAAATTTTGAATAATCCACTTTGGCAACTGTAAACAAGCAGTGCAAATTTTATTTTTAAGAGAAAGGTAAAAGGTGTGCACAAGTCAGTAGGCAAACTGATTTGGATATGCTGTACATGAAACACAAAATTTAACATACAGGTACAACAAGGAATTAGGAAGGCAATTGTTGTGGTAGTCTTTGTGTAACGGGACTGGAGTGTAACAGTAAGGGAATCTTGGTGCACTTATGTAGGGCTTAGGTGAGACCACATCTAGAGTCGTGTGGACAGTTTTGTCCAATTTACCGAAGTGAAGGTATATATGCTTTCATCTTCCACTCGTAGTTGTAGTGGATCTTAAAAGAATGAGTTTTTATTCACTTCACCTAATATTTGCTTCATCTATTTTCCTGGATTTTTTCCAAAATGTCAGTGTGATCAAATCTTTATATCAAATATCTACCAATCCCTGCTCTGAACCATTACGATCAAGTTTGTTTTAAATATCTCTCGACTTCTTTTCACTCTTCCTATTTCTGTTTGCTTTAGCCCTTTTCTGTCCTTATTGACTTAAATTCTCCCCAATACCTTATGAGCCATTTAACAAATACATTAGACATATTGGGACAGACTTTTAGGGCAAATATGACATCCAGAGTCATAGTTACATAGCACAGAAACAGATCCTTCGGACCAACTCATCCATGCCGCCCAGACATTCCAATCCGACCTAGTCCCATTTGCTAGTATTTGGCCCATGTCCCTCTTAGACCCGTCCCATTCACATACCCATCCAGATGTCTTTTAAGTGTTGTAATTGTAACCACCTCCGCCACTTCCACCGGCAGCTGATTCCATACATGCACCACATTTTGCGTGAAAACGTTGCGCCTCAGGTCCTTTTTAAATTTTTCCCCAATCACCTTATGCCTATGCCCTCTAGTTTTGGAATTCCCTACCTTGGGGAAAAAGACCTTGACTATTCACCCTGTCCATGCCCCTCATGATTTTGTAAACCCCTATAGGTCACCCCTCAGTGTCAGACGCTCCGGGGAAAAAAAAAGCCGCAGCCTAGCCATTGGAGATGCAGGGTTACAGGGAAAAGGGCAGGGGAATGGGTCTGGGTGGGATGCTGTTCGGAGGGGTGGTGTGGACTTGTTGGGCTGATTGGCCTATTTCCACACTGTAGGGTTTCTGTGATTTTATTCAGCATCACCCTACAGCTCAACCCTCCAGTCCCTGCAGCATCCTTGTAAATCTTTTCTGCATCCTCTCAAGATTAACAACAACATTCCTATAGAAGGGTGACCAGAATTGTACGTAGTACTCCAAGAGTGGCCTCACCAATGTCCCGTACAGCTGCAACATGACATCCCAACTCTCATACTCCATGTTTTGAACAATGATGGTAAGCATGCCAAATGCTGCCTTCACCACGCTGTCTACCTGTGACTCCACTTTCAAGAAACTATGCACCTGCAGTCCAAAGTCGCTTTGTTTGACAACACTCCCCGGGGTCCTACAATTAAGTATATAGCACTGTCCTGGTTTGCCTTACCAAACTGCAATAACTCATATAAACTCCATTTGCCACTCCTTGGCCCATTGGTCCATCTGATCGATGCCCCATTTACTTTGAGATAATCTTTTTCGCTGTCCACTAGACCACAAATTTTGGTGTCATCTGCAAACTTACTAACCATACCATAGAACTCGGGAATAAGAAAGGTGAAATCACAATGCTGGGGGTATAATACAAGCCTTCCAATGTAGAGATATTTTCGAAAGATGTAAAAACAGCAGGGTCATTGTGGTGGGTGATTTCAACTTCGCCTATATTGACTGGGACTCACTTTGTGCTCGGGACTTGAATGGGGCAGAATTTGTAAGGGCCATTCAGGAGGGTTTCTTGACACAACATGTAAACAGCCCAACCAGGGAAGGGGTTAGACTGGACCTGGTTTTGGGAAATGAGTCTGGCCACATGAGTGAAGTTTCAGTGGGGGAGCACTTCAGCAGTAGTGACCATAATACTGAGAGTTTTAAGATACTCCTGGATAGGAATAGTAGCAGTCCTTGAGTGAAGGTGTTAAATTGGGGGAAGGCTAACTACAACAATATTAGGCAGGAACTGGAGAATGTTGATTGGAGGCGGCTGTTTGAAGGTGAACCTACATCAGACGTGGAAATATTTCTAACAGCAGTTGATAAGAGTTTAGGAGCGGCACGTTCATGTGAGAATGAAGGATAAGTATGACAAGTTACGTGACCCTTGGATGACCAGGGATATTATGACCTAGGTCAAAAAGAGAAAGGAAGCATACGCAAGGTCTAGAAGGGTGGGAACTCACAAAACCCTTGAAGTGTATAATGAAAGTAGGAAAATACTTAAACAAGGCATTAGAAGGGCAAAAAGAGGTCATGAAAAGTTGTTAGCATACAGGATTAAGGAAAATCCCAAGACATTCTATACATGTATAAAAAGCAAGAGGGTAGCCAGCAAAAGGATTGGCCCACTCAAGGACAAAGGAGGGAATCTGTGTGGAACCAGAAGAGGTAGGTGAGGTCCTGAATAAATACTTTGTGTTGGTATTCACCAAAGAGAAGGAATTGGTTGAGGATGATCTCAGGGAAGGGAGTGTCGAGTTTCTAAGGTAAGTTGCTACTAAAAAGAGGTGTTGTGTGTGTTAAAATGTGTTACGGTAGAGAAGTCCCTGGGTCCTGATGGGATCTACCCTAGAATATTGAGGGAAGCAAGAGAACAAATTGTTGGAACATTGTCAGACATCTTTGTATCCTCTTTGGCCACAGGTGAAGACCCAGAGGACTGGAGAATAGCTGATGATGTCCCATTGTTTAGGGGTAACTGGGATAATCCTGGAAATTACAGGCCTGAGAGTCACATGTCGTTAGTAGGGAAATTATTGGAAAAGATTCTCGGGGACAAGATCTATACCCATTTAGAAACAAATAGACTTATTAGCAATAGACAGCATGGTTTTGTGTGATGGAGGTTGTGCCTCACTAACTTGATCGAATTATTTTGTGGAGGTGATAAAGATGATTGAGGGAAAAGTGGTTGGTGTTGTCTACATAGACCTCAGTAAGGCCTTTGATGCGGTTCCTCATGCCAGATGGGTACAAAAGGTGAAGTCACATGGTATCAGGGGTGAACTGGCAAGATGGTTACAGAACAGGCTTAGTTATTAGGAGACAGAGGGTAGCTGAGGAAGGATGCTTTTTGGAATGGAGGATTGTGACTAGTGGTGTTCCACAGTGATCAGTGCTGGGACCTCTGGTGTTCAAGATCTACATAAATGATTTGGAGGAAAACGTAGCTGGTCTAATTAGTAAGTCTGCAGATGATACAAAGACTGGTGGAGTTGCGGATAGTGAGGAGGATTGTTAAGAGGATACAGCAGGATATAGATCAGTTGGAGGCATGGGCAGAAAAATGGCAGATGGAGTTTCATTTGGACAAATGTGAGGTGATGCATTTTGGAAGGTCAAGCACAGGTGGAAATTATACGGTGAATGGCAAAACCCTTGGGAGAATTGATTTGCAGAGAGATCTGGGTGTGCAGATCCACACATCACTGTAGGTGGCAGTGCAGGTAGATAAGGTAGTAAAAAATGCCTATGGCATGTTTGCCTTTATTGGAGGGGACATTGAGTATAAGGATAGACAAGTTTATGCTGCAGCTTTATAGAACTTTAGTTAGGCCACACTTGGAATATTGCATACCATTCTGGTCACCATACTACCAGAAGGATGTGGATGCTTTGGAGAGGGTACAGAAAAGGCTTACCAGGATGTTGCCTGGTATGGGGGATTTCACCTACGATGAAAGGTTGGATAGACTTGGTTTGTTTTCACTGAAGCGCAGGAGGTTGAGGGATGGCCTGATACAAGTTTATAAGATTGTGAATGGCATGAATAGAGTGGAAAGTATGAGGCTTTTTCCCGGGGTGCAGGGGTACTAGAGGACACAGGTTCAAGGTGTGAGGGGGAGATAGGGAGTTTAAAAGAGATGTGCAAGGCAATTTTTACACGCAAAGAGTAGTGAGTGCCTGGAACACGTTGCCAGAGGAGGTGGTGGAAGTGGACACAATCGCAGCATTCAAGAAGCACTTGGATGAATACGTGAATAGGAAGAGAATAGAGGGATACAGATCCTGTAAGTGAAGACAGTTTTAGTATTAAAGGGCAAAATGTGTCGGTGCAGGCTTGGAGAGTTCCTGTGCTGTATTGTTCTTTGTATACCTCCTGAATTCACATTGGAATCGTTGATGACTTGAACCCAAGCTTTCTGGTTCAGAGGTAGGAACACTACCACTGCACCACAGCAACCCTTACGAAGACATAGTTTCTCGTCCTCCTTCAAATCAAGTTTAATTTACCCCAAATGGTTCTGGTTCTACAGATTTCTTCAGTCACCAATGGTATTCCATCTAAGATCCCACCCAATTGTGCCCTTCAGCACAGATTGTCATGCATTCTAACCAAGCTGTTCAGCGATGTTATTACATGCCTCTATACGTGAACCCAGACTTACTGAACCAGAGCTAAAGGCATGAACGAAGGCCCAAACATGACAACTAACATGGACCTTTTCTGCTATCTTCACCTGTGAAGAATCTGCTATCATCATTAGGAATCTAATTCCCATGAACATTTACAAATGGAATAGTTTCCAGTGTTTGTCCCAGAGTTTCCAGAATAAGTAATAGGATAGAGAGTATGGAAAGGGTCAAACTTCATGCACAGCCGATAAGGGAACAACTATGAGAAGGTGAGTGGGAGGCAGTTAATGTAGGACAGGGTATTGTACGTAAGGACAGGCAGTGTTAAGGAAGCAGTGTGGCTGCAGAAGGACTTGGACATGCTAGATAAGTAGGCAAAGAAATGACAGGTGGAATACAATGTGGCAAAGTGTAAGGTTGTACATTTTGGTCAGAAATACAGAGGCATAGACTTATTTTCTAAACGGGGAAAGGCTTTGGAAATTGGAAGTGCGAAGGAACTAGTTCAGGATTCTTATGTTTAACGTGCACATTCAGTTGCTGGTTAGGAAAGCAGATGTGATGTTAGCATTCATTTCAAGAAGATTGGATTACAAGAACAGCAGTGTACCGCTGAGGCTCTGGTCAGACCACACTTGGAATATTGTGAGCAGTTTTGGGCTCTGTATCTAAGATGTGCTGGCATTTGGGGGGTCCAGAAGATGTATACAAGAATGATCCTGGGATGATGGACTCGTCATATGAGGTGCATTGAAGACTCTGGTTCTGTACTTGATGGAGAAGGATGAGGGGGGATCTAACTGAAACTTGCGGTATATTGGGAAAGGCCTGGATAGAGTGGACAAGCAGATGATGTTTCCACTAGTAGGAGAGACTAGGCACCGGGGGAAAAACATCAGGGTGAAGGAACAACTCTTTAGAACTGAGATGAGGAGGAAATTATTCAGCCAAAGGATTATGACTCTGGAACTTATTGTCGCAGAGGGCTGTGGAGGCCAAGTTATTGAGCGTATTTAAGACAGGTTCTTGATTAGTAATGGGATCAAGAGTTAGGAGGAGAAGGCAGGAGAATGGGATTGAGAAACATCAGCCATGATCGAATGGCAGAGCAGACTTGGGCTGAATGGCCTAATTCTGCTCCTGTGTCTTAGGTTCCCGATTTACCATGAATCTGAATGCCTAGCTATTATGGTAACTTTCTGGCTGTGTATTTGACCCAAGTAATCTGCTTCTCACTCAATCAGATGACATGCAAAATAAATATTTTAGTTTGTTAAATCCTCATTCCATCATATTTTGTCTTAAATTAATTGGATGTTTTAATTTTCAGCTGGAAAGCAGCTAAACACACAGCTGACCCATCACAAAATTTGATTCAAAAACAGAAATTGCTGGAGAAACTCAGCAATATCAGCAACTCAACTAGCAGCATCTGTGGAGAGAAAGCAGCGTTAATGTTGAGTCCAGTGACCTTCCACTGAAATTTAATTTTTCTGGCCAGATTTTAAATGCCACACACTGCATCTAGTATGTAACCACTAGCAACCTGCACAGCGGTGTAATAGGATTTCCCCTGCTGTCAATTACATGTACTACTTTTAATTTTAGCTTTTCATTTGTGGGATGTGAGTGTCGCTGACTGGCCAGCATCTATTGCCTTCCCTGGTTGCTGTTGGTATTGGTGTTGTGTGTTCGCCCTTCCTATGACAATAAGACATTAATCACCAAAATATTTCTTTTTTTTTTTTTTTTTTTTTTTTTTTTGGAGGATTGATCCACTCAATTTGTTGACTTTATAACTGATTTGGGTATGAATTAAAAATCTCACCCTTGCTTTCTGAGTCAGTCCTTTGCGGACAAAGAAACTTCGTGTTAGCTTAGCTTTGTATACTTGCAAGAATCTGCCCTAAGCTAGGTTCTACTGTTGTATAAGTAGCTATAATTATTATTGTAAAGCAAATCAGTATATCCATTTTCACTCTTAATGTGTTTCAGTTTGTAATCGTGGTTGTAGACAGTATGGACAGGGAGAGGATAGCTATAACCAGAGATGAGCTTTACAAAATGTTGGCGCACGAGGTAAGCATTTTGATTATCTGTTTAAACTTTCCACATTTTCTTAAGTTCCTTATTTGAATTGTAGATTGCTTGGAAATGATAAAGAATGTAAATTAAACATTCCTCCTCTATCTCACACACATGCCATTTTTTGGATTGCTTTTTCTATGTATTAATGCCAAAAACTTTCAATACATATTTGAGAGAGTTTTAATACCAGTCATGGAAATGAGGACGTTTTATCAAAGGAGTGTAAGCACTGAGCAATTCAATGTATTTCCATTGTTCAGTCTTCTCTGCTTATTTACTAAATGTTGAATTTGTTTGATCATCTGATGAAAGCAGTAAAAAGTTCAAGTTTGGAACTGTTCTACGCTTTGGTTCGAAGGTCTTAATTGGAATGGATTATGTAGATCTCTTTTTATCCTGTGTCAGTGATATGTCTTGATCCAGAAATTGCACTGTGTTTACAGACAGAATGTCTTTTGTTCCACCAGATCATTTCTTTCTTGCTCCCTTTTTGTTTCCCAAAAAGCGTTTTTCTCACTTATTTTATCTGTGAATCTTGCACTCTCAAAACATCTATTGTGTCACGCGAAAATATTGCATTAGAAAGTTTTTCTGTCTGTGTCATACATACAAATTCATATGTAGTTGAAATCAGGCTTTATCATTATATTTTGATATTTAATTGACTAAATATAAATGAATCCAAAGATATTTGATTTAGTTACTGTTTAGTGGTGAGAAATAAGTAAGCAGCAGCAAATAACAACCAAGTCCCTAAATTTCCCTCGACCCGCATATTGTGAGCGGCCTACTGTAAACTGACCAAGTTGCTCAACTTGTATCTCCACTAATGTTTTATTTGGGCCTAAGCATTGATCACCTGCCATATTGGATATTTTATGTATGTTGATTAATATTATCAGGTTGTCATGTTCTTTTGGAAGAGAAAATCATGGTTGATTTCATTCTTGAAAGTCCAATTTCAAGTTAAGGTTTTCTTCAAATCAAGGACACAGAAGGACAGTTCAAAAGAAGAGGGTGTTAGTGTTGTTCACCATGAACATCAGGCTGGAGAGGATCAGAAATCGGGGAATTTTGTTCTGAATAAGATGGGCAAGAGCCCCCAATACTGGAGCTTGTAAAGGTTTCGGTCTCAATGAAGAGATAAAAATTCTGTCTCCGTGTCAGGGAAGAGAAGGAAATCAATGTGAAGAACAGAATTGGTTGATTAAGGGAGGGTGACTGAAAGGGGAAATTTAAATTGTCAAAAATATGCAGTGATTTGCTGCAGAGGCAGCAATTACACAAAAGGGAAATGTTTCTGGTGGTGTCATAGAAAGTTGGCTGTGTTGGAATAGAATTGATACTATTGGTAATTAACGATCTTTCCCATGACCATTACAAATATAAGCACTTCCTTACAGGATTTTGTTTAATTTTGTGTTAGTGCCTCAGGATGTCCCAAGGTGTTTCACGGCGAGCGAGTTTCTTTCGATAGTCACTGTAATATCAATAAACATAGCTGTCAATTTTTTAGGAGCTGAGACCTGTGAAACAGCAATTGAGGTGAATGACTAATCGAAAAATGAATATTTATTGCATTGATCTGATACACCTTTGGCAATTTTGTTCACATTTCATTTTGCCTCAGAATGACAGCATTTCCTCAGTGCAACATTCAAAGCAAACCAATCCAGAAGCTGGATCTTAATCTACAAGCTCTTCACTTGAATATCCTTAGCTGGTGAAGCTTATTATTTTAAATTATAGTTCATATTTTTAGCAACAAGTTTCAAAGTTGCTTTATTCAGCCAATGGATAATTCAGTTTTTTGTTCAAAAGAGAAATTATTAGGAAAACACAAGATGGAAATATGGAGAGAAGCGTTAAACGTGGAAATTACTAATTGTGCTTGAATCTTTATAAGTTTATTGCTTTGATCTTGATTATCTGGATCCTAAAATACAGTGAGCTCACTCCAGCTTTACGTAGGTGTTGGCATTAATAAGTCTAATTTTAATAGTTATAAATAGTATTAGGTTTTAACATGTACCCCTGAAGGCTCAAGGTTACACATAAGACTTGTTGTACAGTTTTGCCTTTTTTGGAAGAATACGGGGGCAGAGAGAGGTCAGGACAGAGAATTTGGGAAGATTGCTACCTTGTGCAAGGTACAAGGGGAGCCTTACATCAAATGCTGATGAGATGTTAAGTATCGAGCTACTGCCTTTTTTATTTAGTCCCTGAGCATTGTCTTGATTACAAGGTTTTACCTTTTTAACATGCACTCTTTAAATTGACACTGCATCTTAATAATATGCTTTTAGTGGATTTAATACTGCATTCAAATGTTTACTTTTCTCTGATATAATACATCCTGCAAGTACATTAATTTCTCTGACACTTTTAACAAGTAGTAAGCTGAGATATAGGCCATGTGTTTCCTCATTTGCTCACGCTTTGCCACTGTATTTTGTCTATAACTGTGGAAGAAATTAATTTTACTCCTATCACCTGAATTCTCACTAGAATTGTGAAGTTACAGAAATGGCATGGGGGTTGGCTAGCACACAAGTTTTTAATTTTGCATGCTTGTTTAAAAAAAATTAAACACTTTTAATGGTTGGGAGTTTAATTTTGATTTTGAGGAATTGTGACAAAGTATTAGCCTTCTGAAAGTGAGTTTAATGGTCAGAAACATGAATGTCAAAGAGAGTCAGCATTTGCTTGGGTTATTTAAAATGAAAAAAGGGTTTGGTTGAAATAAATGTGTTAATTGTTCTTCAAAAATGCACTGAGAAGAAAATTAGATTTGCATCAAGAAGGGAGGTATCACTGATTTTATCTTTGTATTTCAAAAGAATGTTAAGAGTTTACCACACATTAATCTGATGGTCATTGACTGAATTGATCTTTGTAGATTCAGTTAAACCCAACTTTCTTTATGATTCTGTGAAAGTCTGAACAGTAGCCAACAGCTGTTTTCTTAATTTATCAAAGTAGCACTTGGTCCGTGATGGATTTTGCTTCTGTTTGAATTGAGTGCAGTGCTCAAAAACTCTTTGGTGTCAAGATGGGTGAGTTGAGAGTATTCTTACCCCTCAGTCGTGGGATTAAGGCTTTGAATGTGGTCATGAGAAGTGGAAGGTATCTCAAAAGTTTGAGTCACAGTTGAAGAAGCTGTCTCATGTTGCTACCATGCAATAGTAATGAGTGGTATTTGCCATTAACAGGATGCTACGATTGAGCCAGAAAGACATTCTGTCCAACACACAAGTGAATAATGTGGCATATGAATTTCAGTGCCTTGTGTCTCAAATATTGGCAAAACATACCAAGCAGTACACCTCTTTGGTTGCTGATAACAAGTAAAGTGAGGATGGTAGCCAATCATCCTGCTGTTGCAAAACTTACAACACCATGTTCAATCTTAGATGTGATTCCATAATTGGACATTTGCTACAAAATTCTGAGTGTGGTGAAAATTATACCGATAACCAGTTCAGGATAGTCACTGGGGCTTACTATACGACACACTTGCATGTACTCAAAGTTGTGTATATAAAAATACAGGATCTCGCTGTTTGCGGACAGAACATGTACGTGCCCTGTGCCTGTTTGAGTGTAACAAAGTAGGTGATTTCCATTCTTGGTTCATTGCTCAAGGCATTACCCTGAGAAATCAGTCACCCTGCCAGTTTAAAATTTAAACAAATCTTGGCTGTTAACTGTCAGTCATCATTAACTAACTGATGCATTCTCCATAGCAAAGCTTCCACCAGTCACCGTCCACTTGCCAACCAAACAGTCGTACTCTGAATATAAATGTTATTTTCCCTTTATTTTTGGTATTTCTTGTGGATGGTCCAGTCGAATGCACGATGATAAAGACGTGTGTTTTTCGGCTAACTCTAGTCACAAAAAGTGCTGCATTTTCAGAAGTTCAATCCTTTAGATCAGATGTGTATTTGAATTGTTGTCATAGGCTGCCTACTATCTTTAGAAAAACATATCAGTATCCTCCCACTGTACCAGCCATCATGCTTTCCCTAACATATATGATCAAAGCGATTTCATGAAGTGAACATCTGTTCTGGAAGCTCTGTGGGGAATTGTTGTCACATTAGATGACATTACACTCTGGAAGCAGGTTGTTTAGTCTGAATAATTCATATTGGTGCTTAACTTCCATATGAGCTGTCATTTGCTGAATAGCCATTTTTTTAAAAAATGATTTTCTTTGTCACGTATCTCTCAAAATTTAATGTGTTCCTTATTTTCAAATCCTCAGTTACCAAAAGTTGTCTTTCTATATAATAAAACACAGAATTGCAGATGCTGGAGACTGGAAATAAACAAGCGTAGAAATTGGTGGAGACACTCAGCAGGTATGGTAGCATCTGTAGAGAGAGAAACAAAAGTTAATGTTTCAAGTCCTGTGACCCTTCAGAACATTTCTGAAGAAGCGTTACTAAACTCGAAACATGAACTGTTTTCTCTCCACAAATGCTGCCAAACCTGCGGAGTTCTCCAGCAATTTCTGTTTTTGTCTATTTCTATTTACTCTGCCCATCCTTCTCAATTTTAAATAGTTTTTCCTTGAGCTGACTCCATCTTTCATTTTCAGTAAAGAGCCCCAGTTTTTCCTTGTATTTCTGCAGAGACCGTAATAATCCAAGTGAACTTGTACTGAGCCTACACATTAGCTTCAGCATTCTTCCTATAGTGCAAAATAATATACAGTATGCCAGCTCTGACCTTAAGCTTTATACACATGCATATTACAATTCATTTTTATTTTTTATACCTTCGAATAAATCTTATCACTTGAAAGTGTACACACAAGCTGTTAAAGAACAAGAAGCTGTATAAATGTGTTTACTTTTAATTCAAAAGTTGCCACAGTCTTCAGACGATAGGGCCACACTCTCATTAAAGAGAGATGAATAGTGGTGGTTTAAACTGAGGGTCACCTCACCTCAGGCGAGGGTAGAGCTTGAGAAGGAGAGTCCTCCATAGTAACCTCAGCTGATGTGGGAATTGAACCCATGCTGTTGACATCCCTTTACATTGCAAACCAGCCATCCAGCCAACTGATCCCTGGAAAATTTCATTGTGAATTAAAATGCAATACACTTACCTTTTCTTTTCGTGTGGATGAGCATCCAGGTGTCCGTGTACATACCAACTCCCAACAAAAGTTTTTATTGATTCTCAAGATGTGGTTATCATTGGTTGGGTCTGTGTTTATTGTCCATTTATGTTGCTCTTGAGGTGTAGGTGATGAGCTGCTTTCTTGAACTGCTACAATTCACTTGGTGTAGGTACACCTGTGGTGCTGTTAGGGAGGGAGTTCCAGGATTTTGACCAAACAACATTGAAGGAATAATAATAATTCCAAGCCATGATAGCGAATGGCTTGAAGGGAAATATGCATGTGGTGGTGTTCCCATGTATTTGTAGCCTTTGTCCTTGTACGCGGTAGTGGTCATAGGTTTGGTAGGTACTGTTAAAGGAGTCTTGGTGAATTTCTGTGGTGTATTTGTAGATGGTACATATGCTGCTGCTGAGTTGATAGTGAGGGAGTGAATGTTTGTAGTTGTGATGCCAATCAAGGAGGCTGCTTTGTTCTGGATATTTTCAAGCTGCTTGTGTTATTGGAGCTGCACTCATCCAGGCAAGTGGGGAGTATTGTATCACACTCCTGACTTGTGCCTTTCAGATGGTTCACAGGGTTTGGGGAATCAGGAGATGAGTTACTCCCTGCCAGATTACTAGACTCTGACCTGCTGTCGTAGCTGCAGTATTTATGACTAATCTAGTTCAGTTTCTGGCTAATAGTAATTCCATTGATATTATATTGGTATTCAGTGATGATAAGACCATTGAATGTCAAAGGTGATGGTTTGATCTGTTAGAATGTTTCTATGCAAAATTAGTGGATTCATCAAATATTTAGTATTTAACTTAACGTAGATTTGATTCTAGGCAAAGGCGTTCACTTTGAGAATATGACCTTACTCAGCAAACATTTATCTTGCTGTTTTACATCTGCAGTTCTGATGTAAAGATGAGCTTTTGAATGTATGAACAGAAGTTCTATGATCAGTATTAAAGTATTGAGAAAATGAAATGTAGAGAATGTCTATTGAGAATGAAACTACTCTTTTCTCCCTTTTATCACACTGACGACTTGAAGCAGCCATCAGTGAACCAGTGTATTTTTTTCATATTAGCTTACATATGATAGCCCAGAGTTTTAAGGCAAGTAGTTCACAATGCTTTTACTTCAGTCTTTGTTGGGGTCTGTTCTTAAAAGTTAAAACTTGAAAGTCCAGTCTGTAGAAGTAACAAGATAAATACTGTTAAGAGTAAAACAATATTTTGTGTTTTGCAATTCAGGATTTGAAGAAAGCAGGACTGCTGATCTTTGCCAACAAACAAGATGTTAAAGAATGTATGAGTGTAGCTGAAATTTCTCAATACCTTAAACTGACCTCAATTAAGGACCATCAGTGGCATATTCAAGCTTGTTGTGCTCTAACAGGAGAAGGGTAAGTGGTTAGAATTTTACAGTTTAGGTTTTTTTATTACCTTCAAATGTGAATAACAAAACTTAAATCTAGGATTAGACATCCTAGGCTACAGGCAACTGCTGGAAGATAGTAGATGGCTGTTTATTGCCCCACATCATGATGGGCAGAACAGCCTCTTTCAATGCTGATTTTAAAAAAAAAAGCTCTGATTCTGTAACATCAGTTGACCTCCTTAGTAGTGCTCAGCTGCTCTAAAGTAACTGTTTTTAATCATTTCTTTATGGGGGGTTAGATGTGGATAGGAGCTTTTTGTTTTGCAGTGCTACTATGCACCTAGTTTGCTCTTTTGTTCAAAATAGTATGTGCGTGCTTGGTGGGGAGGTTGGGAAGCGAGGGGACTGACCTCCATTTCATTTTCTGTAATGAAGCATATTGAACAATGTTTCTAGCAAGTGCTTTGTCTCCTTTTGCAGGTTATGTCAGGGATTAGAATGGATGACATCAAGACTTAAAGTCAGATGACCTCCATGGATGAGGATGCATGGACCATTAATAACTAAACTGTATATCTCTTCCAGCGCTAACAGCTCCATGCTTGCTGGATTTATTGGTATTTATTTTTCAGACTGAATAAAGTTTATTACTTTCACACTTGCTTCAAGTACAAGTTTGGAAAGACTTTCCTTAAGGATCAAGATTGAGTTCAAGACTCCGAATTCAATTGATCGTTTGTAGCTTTTCTTTTAAAGATGGCTGTGATTAATTGACACTTTTTTTTGGAAACCAGCACATTCTGCTCAGGGTAGAGTTTTATAGTATTTGGTAAGTACTTGGAGGGGGGAGGAAGTACATTTGTATTCCAGCATCATATTAATTGCCATTTACTTTATTAAATAAAAGAAGCTATGATCTCAATGGAACACTGTTATAATGTTCACAGCTGGAATCACCAGGTTCTGGCTGAGCTACCTGTTGCTGTTTTGATCTGGTTATGAATGATATTGCTGTGCTCTGATGAAACTCAAATATTATAGCCTTTTTTTTTGTTTGAGTGAACAACAAGCAGAATGTTTTATATAAATTTTCACTAATCTACGTAGGAATGCTTTGGAAAGGAGTTGCATGATGTAAGAAAGATTGATACTAAAGCCACTAAAAATATTATCAATGTTTAACTGGGAAGTGGGTGTACAAGTAATTATATTTAAAGTCCTCTTCTTGATTATTTACCTAAACACTACTCCACTTAAATTATATTGAGTGCAATCATCATGGAGAATTTGGCAAATTTTTAATATAATTGCATACCTTCATACTGAATATGACAGTTTAGCACAATGAAACATTGATCCTGCAAAATTTGAAGATACACTTTGGACTTGCTGATCTTGGTCTGCTGTACTTTAAAGAGAAGATGTGCTTTTAGATTTTGAATTCAAATTTTTCTTTTAGTCAAATAGGATTTGAAACTGTTTTGAAGATCTGGACAATATCAAGACTGTCAAAGGTGGGATGAAAGTTAGCGTAATGTTTTAACATGCCTTCTGACAGCAATTCCCAGCAAAAGTTACGATACTGTAATTTAAAAACACTTTACAATTTTGATTGGGAGTTGGTATAGAGAATATCCCTAGGGTCCTAATTACAATCTGATACAAGGTCATCTTTTTAAAAATTGTTATCAAACTAGTACATAGCAAATGTGTGTGAAATCAAGACTTGAAATTCACTGTTTTTAGGACTTATGGACAATATAATTTTGCACAGAAGCTTGTTTCAGGGCTTTAAATTGTGTCGAAGGCTGAGATGCTGAATTATTTGTAATACTGAAAGATGTCGTTCAGAAAGTGGGAAGATCAATCCCAATTGCCTGAACCTAGAATGTTGGTATTATGTTTTGGCCCAGGGTAGGGGGATGTTATTATGTTACATCATTATTGAATAGGAAATCTTGTATTAAACTCCAAATGGGAACGTTATTTCTGATGTGTACATATATTTGAATGTGGTGGCTCTCCTTACTGACACAGGCAGATCTATTTTTCTGATCTGTAGCTAGCATCCAAGTTGCAATGTTGTATATTTACTACATTATTAAAAAAAAAACTTGTGCAAATCTTCAAATTTCAGCACGCGAAGGAACTGATAATGGGAGAAGTACCAAACTTATTTTAAAGCAAATGCTTGTATTAAAGGCTTATTTATTCTTCTGTCAGGTGTTCAATGCACATTTCATTAGATGAAAAATGTTCTAGATTGGTAAGAAGACATTAAATGTAAAATGATTAGCCTTTCTTTGGTACCAGTACATTACTGATAATGGTTTATGGAATAACTATTCCAATTCAATTTTGCACAGGGTGAGATTGATTTTTAATTTTTTTCTACAACATGATTTGTGAAACCAGTGATGTATATTGTGAATCTGACTTCGTGAAAACAATATATATGATGAGTAAAATTGGATTTCACCAACCCCAATGTGCTATAATTTGTTTTGCGGTACAGGCAAAAAATAGTGTACCAATGACATTTATTCATGTTGCACAACGATTATATATTTGTAGAAACGCAAACTAATATTATAAATTTTGACATCTGCATTCTGGTATCAATTTGAATTAATTGAATTTTCAAAAATAATTGCTGCATTGTAGCTTGATTTTCATTTTTCTTGAAAGGCAGGCAACACAATATAATATTCAGTTAGCATTATTATATTCATTCTGAATTTTGGAGTCAGTCTGGCCTGTTAGTCAAACTGGATTTAGGCAGCAGGTTCTCTTTCCTAAGGGATCACTGAACCAGTTATGATGATCCAGCAGCTTCATAGTTGAGAACCTTGCAGGGACCTACAATTCAATATTGATACCTTGGTACAAATTTGCAAGCCTCAATGTGATTTTGCACTGGGATGTGGCTTTGTGCATGGGAAGTTGTGCCTCGCTGACTTGACTGAGTTTTTTTTTGAGGTGACAAAGGAGATTGAAGGCAGAGTGGTAGATGTTGTCTCTATGCACTTCAGTAAAGCATTTGGCAACATTCTGCCCAGTAGACTGGATAGTAAGGCTAGATCACATGGAATCCAGGGGGAGGTAGCCAATTGGATACAATTTGGCTTGAAGGTAGGAGACAGAGGGGGGATATTTTTCAGACTAGAGGGCTGTGACCAGTGGTGTGTCAAGGATCAGTGCTGGGTCCACTGCTTTTTCATTATTTACATAAATGATTTGATGTGAATATTGGAGATATGTTTATAAGTTTGCAGATCACACCAAAATTGGTTGTCTAGTGGACAGTGAAGAAGATTATCTCAGAGTAAATGGGACATTGATCAGATGGGCCAATGGGCCAGGAGTGACAAATGGAATTTAATTTAGATAAATGTGAGGTGTTGCAGTTTGGTAAGGCAAACCTGGCCAGGGCTTATACACTTAGTGGTAGGGTCGTGGGGAGTGTTGCCAAACAAAGAGATCTTAGAGTGTAGGTGCATAATTCCTTGAAAGTGTAGTCACACTTGGACAGGGTGGTGAAGATGGTGTTTGGCATGCTACCTTCATTGTTCATAACATTGAGTATAAGAGTTGGGATGTCGTGTTGCAACTATACAGGACATTAGTGTGGCCATTTTTGGAATACTGCATACAATTCTGGTTGCCCATCTATAGGAAGGATGTTGTTAATCTTGAGAAGGTGCAGAAAAGGCTTACAAGGATGGCGCTGGGACTTGGAGGGTTTGAGTCATAAGGAGAGGCTGAATAGGCTGGGGCTTTTTTTCCCCCTGGAGTGTCAGAAGCTGAGGGGTGACCTTATAGAGGTTTCTAAAATCTTGAGGGGCATGGATAGGGTGAGTAGCCAAGTTTTATTTTCCTTAGGGATGGGCGGAGGAGGAAGAGTTCAAAAGTTGAAGGTGAGAGGGGAAGATTTAGAAAGGACCTGAGGGGCAACTTTTTCACGCAGAGAGTGGTGCATGTATGGAATGAGCTACCAGAGGAAGTGGTGGAGGCAGGTACAATTGTAACATTTAAAAGGCACCTCGATCAGTATATAAATACGAAGGGTTCAGAGGGATATGGGCCAAATGCTGGAAAATGGGACTTGGCCAGATTGGGTTGTCTGTTTGGCGTGGATGAGTTGGATTAATGGGTCTGTTTCTGTGCTGTATGACTCTAACTTCCATCACATTTTAATTCCATAAAATGCTTGATTCATACTTAAATTGCAGACATGACAGTTCAGTTGATCAAAAAACTGAATCAAAGTACTAACCAACCGATGTTGTGTGCTGTCAAGGTTTCCGCCTACTGTCACCATTCTTTCATGGGATGAGTGTCCCTCAGCATATCCTTTGATCTTACTCTTCTGCACGTACCCCAGGATTCATAACTAATTACATAAGCTATACAATGTAAAAACAAGCCATTCGTTCCACTTAGTCTATGCTGGCATTTCTTGTCCCCATTGAACCACCTCCTTGCTTTCCACATCCAAGCGTATCAACACAAGTCTCACTCACTTCTCCTTTGTATAGTTTCTAGCATCCCTATATCTATACCATTCAGCCATTCCCTGTGCTCTACTGTTTTACATCATCTCCATTCTCCAGATGAAAAAGTTGTTCATTCTCTGACAACTGAAGACCATGGAAAAAGTGTAATCTACAGTCCTGATGTTGCCACAGTTTTTAAAAGTTTAAAATTATTATTTTCTGATCGTGGATTAAGATATACTAAGAGTATGAATTTCAAATGGCTTAAACAATCGCAATCTTCTAATTAGTGTGTTATTAATTAAGTCACTTTTTAAAAATATAAACTTGTTCACTTATACTTCAAAGTTACTGTCTTGAGAGATTTTTCAACAAATTGAATACTGTACCTCAAGGCTAGTTGTATTTCAGTCAATTTTTATGCTAAATTATTAATTTAACTAGATTGGAAAAACTCCATATCTAAAATTATAAAATCCCATTGTATTCTATGAACTAGTTACTATCAAAGCCCTTGAGTTTATCTTGCTTTGCTGGTACCATATTATCTAGTTGGTAGACTAGTGATTTATGTTAGGTCTATGTTAAGTGTGTATGTTAGCTAGATTTTAATTAAGTAATACTGCATTATTGACTTGCTTTTGGTACCATTTTGCTCAAAGTCATTAAAGTTTTATTCAGTTCAGAAAAACATATTAGTTTAAAACATAATAAGTCTGGAATCATCATTTCAGTATACAATATTTTGGTATTGAATGAAAAAAATCAAACTGTAATTTCCCATTTTAATGTCACCTAATGGAAAGTATTTGGATTACATTTACACTTTATCACGCTGTTGCTCAAGCTTGCTTTATTTCAAAACATAGAAACTACAAAGAGAAGATTTGCAAATAACAAATTTTGGGGGCATGGTTGGTTTATGTATTGGTTGAGGTAGAAATTTTTATTGGAATTTCTTGCATTTTGCCACTGAATCACTGGATATGATCTTGAGATTCAACTGGCCTCAACCCTAAGCAATGCAGCTGTTTTACGACATGTGGGCTCAATAGATATGAATTATCTGAACAATGGAACTTCTGACAATGTACTACTAATTGAGTTAAATATCCTCAGGTCCTGGTATCAGTGTTGCCGAGTGGCATTTAGAATGAAAATGTCTGTCGAAAATTGTGAGTGTAGAATAGACTAATATCATCTGATTTTTGAGTCTCTGTATAATTGTCAAAACAGAACCTTTTTTCAGGCTGAAACGTAGCTGGCATTTCAAGAACGCAGCCAATTTTATTGTAAACTTATCTGAATGGACAAATAACCTTGGTAGCCATATTGACAGTTTGAAAGATGTAAAGTAATGGTAAAGTTGCCATATTTTTACTATTGGGCTGCTTTCTCATTAGAGAGAGATGACTAGTGGTGGTTCAACCTGAGAGTTGCCACACCTCGGGGGAGACGTTGAGAAGGAGAGTCCTTCGCAGTACCTCGGCCAGCGTGGGAATTGTTCTCACTCTGTGTCACGAGCCAGACCATCCAGCTAACTGAGCAAACTGACCCCTTGAAAGATGTATACAACTATATATAATTTTTAGGGTTAATCTATAAGGTGTTTGGAATTGGTACACGTTTTTCTTTGCATCAGGAGCTGAACACCTTGCTTATTTAATGCAAAGTTGAAGTTTCAATTGCATTGGCATTTTACTATTTGCAATAAACTTACTTTTTTTTAGCTCCTAAGTTGGTGACATTTACCAAAGCTTGATGATTACTGTATTGAACGTGAACTGATCAGTTTCGTGAGTTTTGGAATTTTGAAAATTCTTTCTTGGGATTTGAACATCACATGCAAGACCAGCGTTTGTATCCAATCCTTAATTGCCTTTGAACTGAATGGCTTACTAGGTCGCTTCAGAGGGCAGTTAGCAGTCAACCACATTGCAGTGGATCTGGATTTGTATGTAAACCAGGCCAGGTAAGGGCAGATTTCCTTAAGAACATTAGTAAACCAGGAGTGTTTTTCCAAGAACTGATTGTAGTTTCATGGCGCCATTGCCTGAGAGTAGCTTCATATTCCAGGTAATTTTAGTATTAAATTTAAATCCCACTAGGGCATTAGCCTGGTTTTCTGAATTATGCTATGCCATTGCTTCCCCCATTTGGAATACCATGAATATCAAGCACATAACTAATAAGGAAGCAACAATGTAGAATTAAAAAACTCATTATAGTGATGAGTTGGACAAAAACATTTGAATTATCAATCCTGTTGTATCTTTAGGCCACCCCACCACATAGATTCGAAGACTAGAGAAAATGAAATATAAATTTAACTTACAGCTAGGTTAAGCTGTTCTAATAGAACTACAGCAGCTCTATTTAAGACCTGCTCTACCACATCTTTGCGGCTACATGTCTATAGATTACGAGGATAAGGACAGTCCATTGACCTGAAACATTACCTCATTTTCTCCCTCCAAAGATGCTGCCTGACCTGCTGAGTATTTTCAACATTTTATGTTTATAGTTAACTGGGCATGAGGCAGAAAGATTGGATCAATTTTCTGCCTAATGTTTTTATAAAACCTGCATTGCATGTAATTCTTCGATTATCTGAAGATATAGTTTTTATGTTTGTTTGTTTCGTAGGATCTGTCCATTGCATTGCTTAGAGGTCCACAGAAAAGTATCTTTCAGATGTTTAAACAATTTTCTGTAAATTACAAGAAATGCTCTCAAATGTTGTCTATATATAAATGTATGTATTATCTACATGTGAGCATTGCACATGGTTAAACATGATAATCTTAATATCTCAAAGTTTATTTTTAAATTGTCTCTCAGTAAATGTTGCTTCTTTTGTGTATACAAGTTGTAGCATTTTAATAAAACTGAAAATGCTATTGTAGTGTAGATTTCCATCGTGCATTGTCTGCATCAGCTTTGTTTTCTGTTCCTTTTTTTAAAAAAAGTAAATGCTCCAAATGTTTCTCCACTTGTGTCCAGTTGGGGTATTCAATGCTATAGTGGTATTTTTTTGAGTGTGCTTCAGTAAAGACATCTCTTATGAGACTTCAACAAAAATGTAATTTGAAACTACTTCATAATGAGCATGAATGATTCTGTTACTGTTTCTTTGGTTTGACCACTTAAATGATGTCTCATTTCAGATTGTCATTTGCATCCTATTTTCTTTCTACTATCTACTGTAACTGTTAAAGCTGTTGCATGCAAAATTAAGCTGGACTTCTGGCACAATTTGCTATATAAAAGTCAGAAGTATGTACTAGCAAGCAAAAAATTGTGAACTGCATGTATTTAACAATAAAATGAATACAAAATTAATGCAGTAAATGAGTCTAATTTGAACAAATAACATTAGTTGTCACTGCTAATTCATTTGATTGGAGCCTAAATCTACAGAAGGAAGATTGCTGATATTTTGTTTTTAACTAACTGTATCAGTGTTCAGTCTAATTCAATTCACTTTCTGATCCAGTATTTCATTTTGATTTATGAGACCTGATGTAGCCCTTCAGTTTCTTCCTGCCTGGAATGTGCAAAGTGAGCCTGCAGTATATAGTTCCTTTGTACCAAGAATGCCAGCAACCTATAAGCCAGTAGGGGGCATTATAGCCAAATACAATTCATCCGTCAGACATATGTACAGTTTTAAACAGATGTCATCAGCATGCAATCAAGGGGAACGGTGATAAAAATAGTTGAGGTCAAAATGGAGGTGGTAGTCTGGTGTATTTTAATCATGTAAGCAGGAGGAATGTAGTCTCTACGCCATTTGGATTGATCAGCAAGTAAACTGGAACTAAAGAGCTTTGTTCTGGCTGCAATGTGAATTGTATGCTGTCAAAAATCCGGAGAATTTATGGTTAATTGCTTATTAGCAATCTATATAAATTGCAGTGTTTTTGACAACAAGCCTGCAAATACTGTTGATCTGTGCAATACTTGTAATATTTGTATAAGGGTGAATAATTTTGTGGGTACTTGGGACTTTACCCTCCAAGTGCTCAGAGTCTTAAAGACCTAAAACTAAAACTCATTCTTTTAGGAGAACTGTACTGCCAGCAAACTGACTTTGAAATGTTATCTGTTCTGTAAGTATTGTACTATTAAATATTTGATGTCTTTCTGCTTCTGTATTTTTTTGTCAATAAATATGAACTGGTACTTTGTTTGTATGTTTTTCCACCACTTTGAAAAATACGGTAAGCATCCCACATACTGAGTGTAAATTGTTCATTATCATTTCTGGTGCTGAGTTAACAGACACTAGGTGTTAGCTAGTGTTATTTATATGTATTTATTAGTGAGCTGGAATTCTTCCTGTTAATGTGACTTATTCTTGAGGAATGCTTTGAATCACTTTATTGTTGGCTGTTAAACTGCAGTTTACATACATACATTTGTAGTTTGGCCTTTGGTACCAATTTCAGGACAATTCCATAAATTTTCAATGCTGAAATTGCCAAGTTTCATAGACAGCAATCTGGAAATGTCAATAATTTAATTTCTGTTACAGTGTACTAAGAGATCTCCCTCGAGCTATTTTACTAATGCGATGCAAAATGGTACTACCAACAGTTAAATGGCAATTTGCAATGGTGGTACTGCCATTTAATAGTACAAGATAAATTAAGCCGAAACCAGCTCAACTTTATAATAGATTAAAAACTCAATTGATGTTGTGTGGCATTTTTTGACAGTATTCTTTAAAACATCAAAAGACAGTAGTTTTCCTCTGATTAACTAGGATAGTTAGAAGCATTAGCCTGTGTAACCAATTTCATTTGTCTTGAATCAGATCTATTCTTTCCTTGTTAACTAACCAACCTTCAGCCACGCATATTAAAACATTTAACCATTTACTGTGTACACCTCCAGTTAATTCAATACATCTTTGTCTCTGGATGAAGATGAAGTGCAATACTATGTTAGTTTTGAGTAAAAAGGATGTTTCTTTAGTGCTTACTATGGAGTTCAAACAAAAAGTGGTGAATTTCTGTTTTGTAAGATTAAAAGGTGCCTGCTGCAAAAAAAGCTGTGATCTTTGCTTAGTATCTAATACTACTGAGACATTAATTTAGAGTATTTTTCATGTAGATATTAAACTGCCACAGCAAAGTAGCTTGTGTGTAGAGGAAACTGCCTGCAACTAATGAAATATTTTCTGCAAACAAGCTAAGGAAGATGAGTTATGAAATGGGAGCAGAAGTCAACCATTCAGCCCCTTGACCCTACTCTATCATATGGTCAAGGCTGAACTGATTTTGTTTAAAATTCCACATTCCCATGTGCCCTCTAACTCTTGATTTCCTTGCCTAACAAAAATCTATCTACATTTGCCTTAAAATTGTTCAATGAGTCATGAGAGGAAACATCTTCCCATATTCACCTTTTCAAGACCCTTCAGGATCTTGTGTACCTTATTCAAGTCACCCCTCTTCTAAATTCCAGTGGAAACAAGACCAGTCTGTCCAACCTGTCCTCGTAAGACAATCTGTTTGCTCCAATTATCATTTACTAGAACACTGAACTGCCTCAACTGTTACTCTGGGAGTCACCCAAAATTATGATTTCCATTCCTAGAAAATAAGCTTGGTTATTTACATTGAGGAAAAAGAATTGGGCCAAGGTCCCTTATGCTTGGTTCACAAATAAGATCAATGTTGATCTTTCATCTGAACTTCCCTTTCATGCCTGATCAAGTATCTGACTTTGTTTGGCTTTCAAAAATATATTGATCCCAGCCCTGAATCTATTCTAAGTGCATACAACCCTCTGAAGAAATTTCTTAACTCAGTCTGAAAGGACACTCTTGAAATGATGACCTAGAGTTCTAGATTCCAAACAGTGGAAATAGCTTTTCATAATCATAAGCAGTTCTGAAATAGGGTCACTGGCCTCAACTTTTAATTCTGTTTTCTCTCCCCAGATGCTGCCAGACCTACTGAGCTTCTCCAGCAATTTGTTTTTATTTCAGATTTCCAGCACCTTTTTTTTTCTTTCGTAATCCGATTTGGAAGATAACTTCTCATTGTTCTGAACTTGAGTAGTACTACCCATTTGCACCGCATTGGAAAATTTCTCAACCTAGAATCAGTGAATGATCATAGCTTTTTTTTAAATCATCCTCCCTTGGTTATAGGGGTCAAAACTAAATAGTCAATTTGGACTCCCTAAAGTCCTGTATACTATGGAAAGACATACTTATTCTTGCACACAAAGCCCCTTTCAATAAAGAACAATACCATTTGTTGCTAATTGCTCCTTGTTATATGTGCATGCTAAATTGTTTCATGTACAAGGAAATTCAAATGTCTTTGAACACCAACATTTAAATAGTTTTTCATAATTAGAATCCAATAGGAAATTAGAAATCAAGAATTTAGAAGAAATATCTCTTCTTCCCCCCCCACCCCCGACCCCAAAGAATAGCGAGAATTGGAGCTTGTCACCATTTGAATTAGTTGAATTGAATAGTACAGATGTTTTAAGGAGAAGCCAAGTGGGAATGAAATGGATGGTTACACTGGTTGATTACGTGCATAAAGATGGGAGAAAAGTTGAGTAAGCATCTGCATGCATGGTTGGGCCAAATGGCCTGCTTGTGCTGCATTCTTAGGTAGTTCCTCTCTTTTTAAAAAAGAAATTCCGTTTCCTCTAAGTAAGTAATTTCACATTTGACTTCATTTAAATTCCATCTGCGAACTTAATGCCCATAACTAAATCTGGCTTTTTTTTGCATGCTGATGAGTAACTTGCAAAAAGAACTCCCAAGTTTTTTTTTCAGTAATCTTGCATGTATTGCACTTGGTTCCCTTCATCTAAACTTTTCAAATAAAGCAAAGTTGCCATAGTCCCATCAGATCATAGGGCTGCTCTCTCAGTAGAGAGAGAGAGAGACAAGTGATGGTAGTTTAACCTTAGGGTCACCACATTTCAGATGAGGGGAGAAGTGGAGAAGTTGAGATGGAGAATCCTTCGTGGTAACCTCAGCCAGTGCAGGAACTGAACCCACACTCTGTTGGCATCACTCTGTGTTGCAAACCAGAGCTAACTGACCCCAATTTTTAAAATAGATTATAAATAATTAAAGCCCTAGTAGAGATCCTTCTACCATGCTTCTAGCAACAAACTGACAATGACCTGTTTATTCTTACACTTAGGAAAGGGTTTATTCAAATCAATAAAACTAACAGTACAAGTTAATAAAATAATTAAAATAGCCAAACAAATCCAGCATTGATTTCTAGATGGGTAGAACTGTAATGCAGCAATGTTATGCCAAACTTGTGTAGAACCTTTGGTAGGCCACACTTAGAATGCTGTGCACAAGTCTAGACTTCCATTTGTTAGTTTTGCTATTATCCTTGAAAATATTTTGAGGTTACACCCAACAAAAAAGGCTGTGGCTTTTGGAAAAGAGAAGGCAAAAGGATAAACTGAGCACTCTCTAACATCATGGAATAATTTGCTAAGGTAGATGTAAAGAGACCACTTCCACTCACTCCTGGAGTGCTCCAAAACTAAAGGCTGTACATTGGAGACAGACACCAAGGAAGCTAAGAGGGAATTTAGGAGATGTGTCTTTATCCATAGAATAGTAAGAATGTGGAACTGGCCACCATGAGGAGTCATTGAAATGAATGATATAGAAGTGTTTAAAGTTAGAAGCTTAAACATCAGAGAAGTGAACAGATTAAGTGATTGTTTTATACGAAGAAACGAGGGAGGCGGTCTGTGTGGTCTATAAATACAGGCATAAACCAGTAGTGACATTGGTCTGCGTGTGCTATCAATTGTGTAATTCTACTTGGTAAGTACGTAGTTTACAGTTACTATGATGTTCTGTTGCTACAGCTAATTTCCCAAGAATACAATCTTTCCACACACAAGACAAGGATGCACAGGGAGTTGGTCACATTTATCGCATTGAAATCTTTTGTTATTTCACCCGTTTTGCGGGATGGTTTGCTTCACCATGAGATTATAACTAAGAGATAGAAAAGCCCTCTCTTGTTTAAAGAACGACCTGTAGTATTCTGACAACATTGTTGAAAAGAATTCATAATAATTTGAATCTTAGAACGAAGAGAACAGAAATGACCTTCAGCACTACTGGACTAACTACAGCCAGCTTTCCATCTGTAACTATTTGCTTCCTTCATTTCAGCTGTCGTTTATTGTCTCAATCCTGTGGCCGGACGTCTGCACATTCCAATCCTATTCTGCTTTTTCTATTTTAAATTACTATGATAAATAACAATACTGACATCATAGTCCACTGAGCAAAACAGATTTTTATGCCATGGTTATCTGGTCTCCTAT